GACAACCAGCGGTATTCGACTGCTCGCAAGGCTGGACAGGATCGGCCAGTTTTCGTCTGGATAGGGGGCCAATACAGTCAGACCCTCGTGGAATTGCTGAGGCTGAATGTGAACCAACGGGGCCCTGGGCACTAGAGGGAAAATAGATTATAGAGTGGAGAAAGCCAAGCGCAAGCTGAAATTGAAGATCAGGACAACACTTACGGTATGGAGTCAGACCAGAGATCTGTGCGTTGGGACACAGACCCTGTCCCGGTTGGGCCGGGACAAAATAGATCACCCCGTTGAGTGCGTTGGGGAAACGCGATGCAAAGCCGCCTCGATGCTCGTCGGGACGTCCGAGATTACCCTCCACGGACTCGCAAAAGACCGGGGATCTTGGGTCTGTGAGAACAGTTCCGCCTGTGCACGACGAAGCTCTCGGATTCGTTCCTGGTGGTATTGCTTCAGAACCGGATCCAACTGCGAAGCCTGTAGAAGAATCGCGGCCTCGTCGATGAGGCTCTGGAGATCCGCAAGAAGAGTCCTCGGAGACCTCTGGAGCTTGGGTCGCTTTGAGTGGTGTGGGTCCGTGTCCTGCTACTGGAGCTGACACTTCTTGTCCGAATGACAGGCTTGCGTCGCCTCGGCGGCATTCCATAGCAGGTGATGAACCTCGGAGTTCTTCCGGGGCACTTTATATTGAAAAAGGAACCCAGGCGGCGCTCTCGGCGCTTTCTGGATTCAACACCATATATGGAAAAATAGGGATCGAAGATTGGAATTGCAGACTCCACACTCAACGAGCATTGTCTTCAGTATATACAAACGTGTCTTGACATATTGTTAAGTTCGTATCAATTTATGCGGGTCACGTATCTAATATGTTCGACCAGATGAAACACGCGAAAATTGTTGGCAGTGCTCAAGTGATCTATCCATCACTGTACGGTATCTATCCACACGGTAAAATAACGGAGCCTCTAAGTGAAGCCATAAATTTCACGTTCTGAAGACTCAAGAGCCGTTCGAATGGCGTCTCTCGAAAATCGAAATAAAGAGCCAGGCGCACTCGGAAGAACTGGGTAAGAAAGGGGCCAAAATGCCCTCTCCACAAAACCCAAGGAGACATGAACCAGAACGGTTCAGAACCAGATGGACGTTCGAACTGTTCAGACAGGAAGTACTGGAAAACATACACCCAGTGAGTCTGATGATTAAGGGGGTGTGTTGAAAATAGGTAATCACCAGCCTCACAGTAAGTAGGTATCTGAATAGACTGAGAGGTACCTCAAGGGGGCACTACACGGTGCCTCATTTACTCTCCCTCCTTTTACATCGGTTCAGGTATAAATACAGGTAACCATTGGCTTAATAAACACTGACAAGATCCACCGTTCTCGGACGGCGTCTCTGTTAAACTCGGCTCGTCTTCTTAGTCACTCGTGAGCCTCGTTGAAGTTAGCAGACTGTCCAGGCATCGAAATTGTTCAGGAAGGCTATGGGAAAATGGAAAATCGTTTCCTGGCAAGCGATACAGAAGAGATCGAGGTTCGAGTCCGCTTGCAAACTTGTACTTTCCTCAGCTCAGCGGCCAGCTATCGGACCAATCGCTCATGAAATGAAATGGGGATGGCTCTTCAGACAGCATTGCTTGCGCGATTCCTACATACTGCATGACTGCGGGTCCATGGATGAGTATTCTGTGGAGAGTGGGTGACATGGGGTGCCAGGGGAAGAGTCTGACACAATCACAGTGGGCTGTAACCTTCTCCGCGGTTTCTGATTTCTGAGCACAATGTGTGGAAATTGTCGGAACTGATGTTTTCTGCGGTATTCAGGAGCTTCAATATGAGTTTCAAGTTCCTCAGGAAGTCAACGTCGATTCCGATGATTTCTGCGACCAGTTCAGGCTTCTCGAAAAATCTCCGCGATGTATTCCCATCATTGCTGCTGCTATGATGAAGCGCTCGAGGTGTCGATTCTCGCGCTCATATTTCCGCTTGAACTCACTCTTGAAGGATCGCAACTCTCTCTTAACGTTTGCCACGCTATCTTCCGGACAGTTCACTGAGTCGACGAAGCGCTTCACAAGAAAGTCAAACTTTTTCTAGATCGGGTGAGTCTCGCGTTGGCGAAAGATGTTCACTAATTCGAGCCTGGTGAAAATTAACGACGACATTCTCTGGGATTTGGCAAGGAACGACCGATCGATCACAGTCTCGGGTGAGTCTCGCGTTGGCGAAAGATGCTCACTAATTCGAGCCAGGTGAAAATTAGCGACGACATTCTCTGGGATTTGGCAAGGAACGACCGATCGATCACAGTCTTGGAACTCAATGGAATAAAAGTGTCTCCGCTAGAGGCTATCAGGTCTGAGAACATCGCGATGGGTCGAATCGATGTCGCTTGACGCTCATGTCCAATCTCACTCCATGACCTTCCCCGCGGCGGAATGAGCTCGAAGATTCTCTTTGTTCAGACATTGAGCTTCAGATGCATTGTGCTTTTGATGCTCCTTCTCTGTGGCTCGAAGTCAAGTTTAATCTTCCGTAAGCGCTCAGAGCAGCTGTTTCCCATCTTTCCTTGGAGGCATTTTCGACGAGGAGGATGAATGTATCGAAGCATGCATATCCCGAGAGCAAGACTCGGATGGTTGACAGTCTCAGCTAACTAATCACAAGGTTCGGCATCGTGAATGACCCGCTTGAGAGAACTTCATGAACCGCTGAACCGATAATCTAATTAACTCTCTAATGAACGGATATCAGAGGATTTTCGCGCCGAAATTCGAATCTTTCCTCCCCATTTCATTTCATGTGCGATTGGTCTGATAACTGGCCGCTGAGCTGAGGGAAGTGCAGGCTGCGAAGGAAGAGGAAGTTTTTCATCCTTCTGCGGGAACGCTGGGAGAGGGTCCAAGCCTGGGGATCGCGGAAAACCGGCCTCTCGGAAACCGCTTATTTCCGCCGAAAACCGGTTTCCCCATAGGACCGGGATCGAAACTGATGTGATACTTCCGTGTCTATATATAGCTGAAGCATGGCTTATGTTAGATAATATGAGTGATACACGAAGCTGGGCTTCGTCTAACAATAATTTTTTTACTTAATCGAGTGTTTCACTAACACCCAAACACCGCCGTGTTCCGAGATCTGTACACCCGTGGAGGTCCCGTTCCAGAGACCGTGGACGTTATCGTTGGATAACTGTGTATTCTTTTAAGCCGTGATCTTCCACCAGTTACAGATCCAACCCCAGAGAGTTCTACCAACTGACTAGTGAATATTTCCATCATTCGTTAGCAGCACGATCCTACTCAAGAACTCTGCATCGGAACTGTATTGTGAGTGAAAGTGACTCTGTCGCGTAGAGTAACTTTTCAGCGAAGTGAAAATTCATATTCATATTCATGGATATGGATGAATTCACGAATAAGATGTCTGTGAATTTGAGTATGAATAAATTCATATCCATAAATATAAATTTACAGTAAAAGCTCGTTACCACGAACACGAAGGAACCGACGAAACTGGTTCGTTGTACCGAGTTTTCGCTGTAAAGAATGCCGCTCAACACTATCCCTATGGCGAGCTGGCCAAAGGAGGAGAACTTCCTTGTTCGTTGTACCGAGAAATTCGTTGTAATGGGGGTCGTTATAACGAGCTTTTACTGTATTCATAAATTACCGATGAATTTCCTATGGATTTGGCTTGTTTATGGAAAACGTGAGATTTATGGGACATTTTGGAAGAACGATCGATGGCGTTCCCTAATACCAAGATTGTCGATCATCGCCCCGGGCGGCAGTTGAATTCACCGACCGGCTGCACGCCGCTGGTGGGCACAGTTATTATAGCACGATTCCGAATATATGATGGAATGAATGACATGCTTCATTATACTGGGGTTTATGGATGGAGCCTCATTCGCCATGCGACTTTTCGAGGAAAGACAAGCTCTGGCGCTGAATCAGTCTTTGCTCGGATGTCGAGTCGCCCAGCCGATTCATTTTTGGAGCGTTGATCATTGTAGCATACGAAAACAAGCGCTCCACCGCCGCGCTCGATGGCGGTTGTGTGTTGTATTTCCGGGAAATAGGAGCAATAGCTGGATGCCTCTCCAGCATGGAGCCGTATCGGTGTCCCGTAGATACTGCCACATACATAGCATCCCCGGCGCGGTCTCTATCTGGAGGTGAAAGGTGAACTTTGCATCGTCGGGGAGGAGGGGTCGACTGAGGCGAACTCAAAATTATCGTCGAAATCGTAATAATTGTCGATCTCCATCGGATCGTCTTCGCGGTCCAACCCCCGTCGCTCCAGCTCCTCACCGATTAGCTCCTTGAACCGTAGTCGTTGCTCTCCGGCCGGAATGCATTCGAACCATGCTCTCTTAAAGGACGGCGTGGAGATGGCAGCATTGGCGCTTTTTTCGCCCTGTGGGGTAAAAGGATCGAAAACGTCGCCGAAACGTTCTCCTAGGCTCCCGAGCATGCTGTCCTTAATCGATTTGCGGAATCGTAGAGGGCTTCTGGTGATCGCCAAGAGTTGCTTCTTCATCATGTACAGAATTGGGAGCAGCGTCCCATAGGAAGCGTTTTTTCGCCTTGGAGCTTATCTAAGCCTATAGCAATTGGCTTCGACACCTTCAAATACTCTTCAATATAAATGGAATCATCTACCGAAAGAGAACTCGACAGGCGTAAGCTCTCCGTCAGCGAGTGGATCTTCGCTTCAGATTCGAGCACCACCGACAGACAGTCATATAGACTATTCCACCGGGTAGCTACCGGTCGGCGAAGATCCTTGCCCGTGATATCTAATATAACCTCGGCTGTTTTTGGTAACCTTTCATTTTTTCGGGGCCAGGAATGAATATGCGTGTTACGTACCGTGCACAGCGCCTCACCGTTCTGTGGGAGTCGCAAACCCACTCAAAAACCTGGTGCTTCCCCAACCGCTTTTGGGCGGGGGCGCCGCTCTCATGGACGGAACTGGGTTAGCAATACTTCGAACACATCATGTTTTTGGTAACCTACTGAGTTTCCACAGGATGTTCCACTTAGCCATCGCAATCTCATGGCGTAGAGCGAGTTCCCTATTGATATTCAAGACTCTCTCCACATCTGTCGATGCACAAAGAGATAGTGTATGCGCAACTCATCGCGCATGCGACGGTAGACTGATTAAACAGTTCTCCTCGAGGCCTGTCCACGATTCGGATTCAACGGATTTGGAAACGCAGCCTTCTTCCTCGTCGTCTGCTTCGGGCTCCTCAGATTCACCTACCTGCTTCTTCGGCTTGGCTACTGCTACCGCCAGCTTCCTCATCATTGAGGTCGCTGCCATCCTCAAGCTATAAGATACGGTGGCCCGCATGTTAGAGAAGACACATACATCAATCATCAGCATGAGTTCTCGACGAATGGTTCTATGTGTATCTTCGGGTAGTGGAGTAGGACAAGGATGTCCGAATCATCACAAACCTCTTCGCTATTGTCTGTCGTTCCGCTCTCTCCTCCGTCGCTATCACCCCCTTCGACTTCGTCCTCGGAAAGCTCATGGGCTTCGTCGTTGTTTCTCGGCTCAACCTCGTCGCGATCGAGGACGGCAGCATCCACGCCGAACTCTGCGAAAGCTTTGATGAAATTTGAACCATTGTCTGTCACGCAGGTTGTGATCTTTGAAGTCGGAAGACCGAATGATTCGCGGATTTGCTGGACGAGCTGTGCGATCCTGTCGAATGAATGCGTTCCCCCAAAGCGCCGATAGGCTAAGAGCGCTGATCTTCGGTTGTAGCCGCCAACTATCCAGTGGACCGTCGTCCCCAAACAGCTCCGTTCCCTGCCTGACCAGATATCGGCTCTTGTTGAAACCCACGTCGGCTCCGATAGGAGATCTCTCAGCTGACCACGAAACTTTGTGAAGGCTGTTCCCACCCGACGGCTCAACTTATGGCGACTCATCAGTCTCAGGCCTCTTCTCCTAAATCCTAGCACGTTCGAAAGGAACGTTTGCTCGACCACCCGTAGGGGGATCATAGTCTGCATTATGAACTCTAAGAGGGCGGCATCGAAACGTTTCTGTAGTGTAGAGCCTGAAGTAGAGGCTCGTGTTTCACTGGCTCTCCGGGGGTGTCGGTCCACGAGAGCGTGCCGATTGGCCGCGGGCCACTTCAGGAAGGACCGACTCAATGATAGTTCATGCTTCCGGCGAAGATGCGCTACCATATTCGAATTATGATTCGTGTTCACCCTGACGATGGCTTCTCCCATATCGGCGGGGCACATTGAAGCACATTTCAGGCATAAAGCGGAGATCCTCTTCTTTCGACAAATCTCATCGGCCTACAGACAAGCCGTAGGGGCTTTAATGCACCTAATGCTCGACTTGCGTCCTGATCTCGCGTACGCGATCGGAGTTCTGTCACGGAAACTTGAAAATCCATCTAAAGACGATGTGGTGAGGCTCAAAAGAGTTCTCCGCTATATCGCAGGTACTTGTGACCTCGGGATTGTCTACACTCGAAAGGGGTGCCCTGCCGCACTGGAAGCGTACAGTGATTCTGACTATGGTGGTTGTGCTCAGACGGGTCGCTCCACATCAGGTGTCGTGGTCTAGTACGCAGGTGGATCCATCAGCTGGATGACTCTGGAACTCAGTGCGATCGTATGTATAGACACAGTGGACGCCGGTAAAGAAAAGGCATCAAACTTGACTGTGTGTATATTAGCAAACAATACCACGTATGGAGGAATGGGATGTTGGATTGATTTTCATGATTATACCCATCACGTTCCCCCAAGACCTCAACCTGATCCAGAAAAAAGAGCGGTTTTTCTCCAGATATATGCAGCATTGATAACAACGATCCTATTCATGCATGTGGGTTCAGATATCCTTCGCTGCATGGTACAAACATGGAAAAGAAGGAGATATCAGAGATTATCAGATTCTACTCCATCTGGATCTGGGGTTCCCGCGTCACCAGATTCACTATATGCTAATCAGACAACTGCAGACATGAGAGCTTGAAATAAACGTGTCTTCGTCCATAGTTCGAAGATATGATTTATTCTCATGCCAAGTGTTTTCGATAGTCTCGACATTGGTAAATAGCTTCTGTGTGTTCAACCGTATTCGACTCATACGGTGACGCAGTCAAAACAAAAGTCAACGGCGTAGCTCGTCGCACGAGCACGCATCGTTTGTCTAATATTGACACACACAGACGGTTGTACCCAATGATTCTACATTCATATCGATTGACCGGAATGGGAAGTTGAATCTTCGAAACTTCGCTCGTAGTCGAAGTGATAGAAGCAAATGTCGTCACCTTTTTCAGCGAGACGTTACCAGTAGTGTCAAGTCTGATTGAGACCTATGTTGACTGGGAAGTAGTCTCAACTCCTTCAAGAATCATGGTGGACAGGACGGGAACATCCATTGTTGACACCGTCTCCGATTTGAGTGATGGAGATACCATGCTGGGAAGCAAGGGAGTTTCTTTCTCTTCGTGATGATCGACGTGGTGGACAGCGAAACATGTTTACACAACGACACCCTTGATCCTGAGCCACCTGGTAGACACTTGCTACTTTCAGGCGCGACGGATTCGTTGGCACCATTCGTCGGTTGAGGAGAAGTAGACATAGACACCGAGGGAGATGTTGACGGAAACACTATCATTCTACTGCTCGAAGCAGAACCACGTCCCACTGATGAAGCGGTTGAAATCTGTGAGGCAAGACCCTCATGGGAGCGGCCTCTGGAGTTCGTAGATACGGCCCGAGCGGTATACTGCATATAGGAAGATCTGAGATCTCTGGGAATAACAATTACTACCGGATGATCCCATTGTTGGTCATATCGGTAATCAGAATAGGAAACTACCCTGTCACGCAGTTCCTGAAGCGCTTCCAATGTACGCAGGGGATAGAAAAGCTGTCCCAGGTTAGAAAATGGACGAATGCCTTGCACAGATGAGGAAGTGATTGGGAGAGTAGAACTTTCACTGCTGACCATTGAGTACATGGAAGAATTACTTGGATAAAAGGACTCGACAGATGACACCTGATGAACCAGATCATGCATAACAGGAGATCTCTCGGTTACACTTGCCAAAGTGAGGGAGGATAAACGATCCTCTAATTTGACTTGCGTAATCAAGAGAGAAACCGAATCCTCGTTGTATTGAGCCAGAGAGAATTCACGATAGGTCACAGTTTCCGAGTAAAATGAATCCATGGATGAAAAGATTGGAACAACATCATATGAATGTGATGTGTCCGTGATATCGGGTAGAAGAATAAGTCCAATCACAGTGAGAGCTAATGTGGCCACAGTGGATACCACAGTCACATATGCATAGCAATGAAGTTTTTAGAGCCATTGCTCGATCACTGTTCGAAACAGTGACACCATCGGAAAGTGTTCGGATGAAACTGTTAGTGAACCTTGTTGACTTTGGAACGGGGGTGGATGCTCTGAATGGGAAAGAATCATCCCGTGGCTGCTTATCAAATGGAATCAGTGTACAGAGACACTAATGAGAAACTCAATACGTTCCGATTCTGTGGTCACAATGGACAGCGAACAATAAGCCCTTCAACACCAGAGAAAAAACTTTCAGGAAGAAAGATTTATTTTGATGCCTCAAATAAGCTTCTCGTGTGATCATGCTTATAGATGCTGGCATTCAGGAAAGATGCCAGCACAGTTCGCCTCCGAGGTTCTGGAGACGTTGGACATATGTACATCTCGCTAGGGAAGTCACGACATTTTGTCCCTTGATGAGGAGACATGAGGTCCCATCCTCTTTAGCGTTACATAACCAGCCAAAAGTGTGGCGAGAGCTGTTGAAATACAGAATACTAATCCCTCTCGTTTTCTGTAGAGTAGCTGTAACATTCTCAGTATGATTACTGAAAGCATCTAGGCAAAGTTCTGTAACCGGAAAGACCCTGATCTGAAGGACTTCCGCCTTCAGATCAGTGTTCATGGACGACCCTGAAAGACTTCCGTCATCCGGGTCGGTACTCACAAGTGATACTCTCCACCTGAGTGTATATACTGGTAATAAAGGCTCACACGATGAGGAGCTACTGATTCACACCGAATCCCTGTTTCTTTATTGTGCCGTGATCTTCCAGCCTAACAGCCTCTTTCAGATCCAGAGTCTACCGACTGACCACCAGTGGGTTATATCCAACAGAGCATCGATATAAGTTCAGGTTGACACGAGGAGTAGTGTCGATTCCATGATAATTCAGAGTAGGTGAGCGAGTAGTGTCCTGTTCACGAAAATACCAAAACCGAACGTGTCATCGTTCAAGTTGGAGGACGGAGTCAAGATAATGACGATAAGAATGATCGAAAGAAATTAATATGCTCTCAGACACTCTTCTGTGATATATGGATAGATATCATATCAATTCATCATATTGGACGAAATCAAACCCACCTCCAATCAGAACGAGAGCGATGATGAGGAGGGTTTCTTTGTGTGATGAGATGGAAAATCTTACACTCCAATTCATTGCACTGAAATTGATTCAGAGAAATCTCTGATTTGCGATGAAGCAGAGCCGGATGGTGGTCTGTTCAGTCTTCCAATAAGATTTCGAAGACCCTCGAGATCTACTGATGCACGCAGTTGATCCGCCCAGATCTTGTCAAGGGAAGCCTTAGGAGCGGCAAGATCGGCGGCGTGTTCAATGATCATCGGGGTCCTGTCCGATACTCCGTTGGTGAGATAACCAGTGATCTCACGGATGGACGATTGAATGGAGATGACCTCATCAGCAATTCTGCTTTGTCTTTCCAGAATCTGGTCAATATCTTTCTGGTGAATGGAAAGACTTTTCTTGAGCTCGGAATGATCAGAGCCCAACTGAGAAAGCTTCCAACCCAGTTGAGTGCATCTCGCAACCAGAGATTCTATCTCCTCGTTCGTTTCCGATTTGATCACGATTGGCTTCACGTCAGGAAGATGCTTCTCGTTGATTTGAGATCTGATATGACAGAATTGTTCGGAGAGATGATTGATCTTCGGCTGTAACCGTGAAAGCCCCTGGGATGCCGCAGATTTGGCAATATATGACTGCCTACTGTCACGTTCGGCCTGGCTGAAACTGGTCAGTTTTAACTGTTCCTGCTGAGATGCGATGGAGCATCTTGCTGATAGACTCGTTCATTTCCCCAAGATAGAGTCTCAGAGATTTTGGATGCAGAATCGTTCAGTTGAGAAAACGGGCGTTTCAGGTTGCTGTCCAGACGAAGAAACTCAACCGCGAACTTTCTCGAAGTTGCCATCATGAATGGGAGCGCATCTCTTGAAGAACCCAATTTCAGAGCTAATGTCACCAAAATCGAGTACAGCAGACTGAACAGAGGCTATTCAGCCTGATACATGGCCATGGTACGTTGACCCATGTGTAGTAGATCAGACACAGCGATACTGCTTGAGCTTGGAGCATTTGATGAGTTGCGGAGGGGGATGCATCTTGACTCACTGATACGATGTGATGGCTTTCTGGAGTCGGAGACTCAGAACCACTAGTCACACGTTGAGGATGCATTATTGATCGGAGCGAGATGATGACCCAAGCGAAGGTGCACGCGGAAAGACTGAGTAAGCAGTCTAGAGACAACGGTTTCTCGACGAATCGGGGAAGAGATCCGAAGACGACACAGTCAGTTGACTCTCCAACCCGGGATCGAGTTTCTACGAACATGCTTCTAAACCGTTGACTCAGAGAAAATCGCTCGCTAAAGAAACCAAGGAGAATATTATTCGACCAAATAATATCCATGAAAATGTCCGTATATCCCGAAGAATCGAAAATCGATGGGAAAGAGGTACTGCCCCAATTAGCTGAATACTTCCTGAAACGTCAAGCGTACTGCCATGTGTACCTAAGGCAGTAGTAATTGAGACGTTAGTGTTGCAACATCTTAGGGCACAACCGTGATGGCTGACTTTTGCCAGACACCAGCAAGTGTAGACGCATGGCAGTACATCCTACCGCTGTCGGATGTTGGAATCATATCCAGCTACCGAGATGCCAGACTACCCTGTCTGTGCAGCAGTCCTGATTGTGACGAGGACTACGAAATCAATTATAACAGGATTTTGTATCATCCAATGCTTGGTGGACCTTACTGCGGAAAGAAAGTGTTTCGTTGGAGCCAACGGAGTCGTGAAAACGTTCCCGAAATCTAGGCTCTCGGGGTTGAATGTTTCTTCCTCGGCTAAATAATCTTCATCCAACATGAGATTATCGAAGTCAATATCGAAAGTCTGCCGAGAAATCTCGACAATCGGATCTTAAAGACTTGTCCGCGGGTACGCGTCCCTCAACACTCCGCTCTATTGAGTAATCATGCTGTGGATTTAGCAAATATTGGAGAAGGGTCGATAGCGGATAGTGGAGTCTTCACTCCTCCAATCACCGCGGCAAGGAGAGCTCTGGCTAGCTCAGTGGATGTATTCTGCAAGTGATTGAGCAGAATCAGAATGATGCGATCCGCGTGCACTAAATTCACTTGGGACGAGCAAAGACAACTTATCGCCGTTATGAAGGGACGCACAACATCTGGCAGTTCCTTGAACTCGTTCATTGCTGCTCTGCTGAACGGTATACCCTGATATTCCGCGATAACTGAATTCAGAGCTGGCATGATCAGAAGTGCCCGCTCGAGCATGGTGATCGTTGAATACCAATGGATTCGAGTGTCAAGCACAAGTCGTAGGAGCTTCCCGTTGCACTGTGGTAGTGCAGTCAGCTCTCGAAGTCGGTCCCGTCTGGGCCCACTGAATCTGATCAACTTCAGAGTTCTACGGAGATCTTTCAGAGCTGTTCTCGCAGACGTGAAGTTCGACGAATCAGCGTCACTAAAGTCATCGTCATCGAGTTCGTCTTCGGAGGTGTTACAAACCGCAAGGGTTTGCGTGGGCTGACGACACTAAAGACAAGATGATATTCCGCTGGAGAAGTCTCCCGGAATACCGTCTCGCAGGGGCTTCCGGACGTCTTAGTCCGCTGAAGGCAACTTCGTGTGTGTCTCCGCGCACGTCGATCTCTGTTGGAGATCCGCCGACGGGAGAGGGGGAAAGCCCTGCGAGGGCGACGGAGACCGGAGAGACATCGATCTCATTTATTAGTCCGACGTGGACGCTACCTATGTTCTCACGATTCGTGACAGACGTGGACGCTACCTATGTTCTCACGATTCGTGACACTCCCCGGGAACTGCGGAGCAGTTCAGTAGAATGAACGTACCTAGATTACATCGTGGAATCATATTACAATGAGAATAAACATGCACATGCGAGTCCATCCAATTCGGTCATCTGCCTGGCTCGTCCTAACTCTACTTCCCTAGACTCTAGACAGACCGTGGCCGAATTTCGACCAGCGGTGTTCACTTAGGCACCCAATGTGGATGCTTCAACCTATACAAATTTTTTCAATAATATCCGCCTTAATGGGGTCGAGAGGAGGGAGAGGTATCGAGCAGTAATTTGTTCTGACCGCTGGAATCACTTTTTGCTCAACTTTCGAGCTGTGCAGTGATGCCGTTAAGCCGCCACTTCCGACTGAGCCCTACGGGACTTCTGATGCTCCAGATGCGAGCCTCGGACCCAGTTTCCCGGGGTCTGAGTGAAGACCGCCAACGGGAGTTGGCCAGCCACCGCTGGGCCGCCCTAAGGCCCGAAGACCGCCTACGGGCGCAGGAACTCTCCCGGTTTCTGCGGCGCCTCCCGCCGCACGGGAACACCGTGCTACCGTGTTTCCCCGAATATAAGTCCTACCCCGAAAATAAGCCCCACACGAATTTTCGGGCTCATCGCTGGAATAAGCCTGTTATTTACGGTTGATTCCGGTTCTCACGAGGGAAAAGGAAAAGAAAAGACGGATTTCGAGTGAGACTCGAGGGGTGATTTCTTTCCTGATCGGGATCGCGTGCAACGCGATGAAGGGGCTGCGTGAGAGTGATTGCACGTTCCCGCCGAATCTCTAGATAGCCACAGGGCGAGAGGGATTCGGGGGAAGAGGGAAACCCGACCAAGACGCCACCACTCGAGCTTTATTGAGGTGCCAACGGAGTATCCGTGACACTCCCGGGCGAAAGAACCTAATTAATAAACATTTACAATTTCACGTTTTCGTCTCCTTGACGTACATATCTCTAAACATTGATCTACCGTCTTGACCTAATAACGGCTTGGGAAAGGGCGAGCAATGTGCGGAATTAACTACGATCTCTACGGTCGATCACACATTATCGTTGTACGTCGCGAGAGTCATGCCTCGCGTCTGCAATTTCCGAAATTCACCCACGTGGATCTACTGGTTGTACGTTCAGAACTACGTGCCGGGCGCGGCGGAGATGAGCGACGAGGACCAGGAGGTCCTCGCAAGGAGGATGTGGGCCCAGGCGGGGTCCGCAAATATGGTGTGGGCACAGTCGATGTCCCGGTGGGTCCGGCACGAGCCGGACCAGGAGGGCACCCTCCGTGTCCTATCCGCGCTGTTGGCGCGGATCGCGGAGGCTGCCGTGATTCAGGGGCTCGATCCCCAATAAAGCGTGGAACGAGAAATTTTGTGAGTATTGATTTCGATTCGGGAGACTGTACGGAGTAGACGAGTGAATTTTTTAGAATTCGTTGATTTCGAGCGGGTACAGGAGCTGTATAGGTCTCTTGAGAATTTGACCTGAGCTCGTTTTGATTAGGCATGACCTCCGACGCGAGTCGGTGCTCTCCCCGCCGAAAACTTCCTGGACTATACAGAGTGGCCAGAAGGCCCGTGACGCTTCTGCTGAGTGTAGTAGACAGACATCGCCTTTCTTGATGGGTCGCGAATTTTGGAACTTAGCATAGTGGAGCGACCTCAGATGCTGTAGGTATTCGTTTTGAAATTGTTTCCAGAATGATCTGAGGGCCGCCTGTTGCCTCTTCCAACGCTCCGAGAAAACTATGCTCGTAGCCTCGGAGGATTGCGCGAGGACCTTTTTTGTGTCCGGAAGGGACGGTTGGCTAGCGTATCCGTATAGCAGGCATGAGGGGGACAGTGCTCGAGGCTCATCGGGATCGACCACGACGGCTGAAATCGGCCTGTCGTTGACCATTTCTCTATTTCGAAAAGAAGCGTTTCTGTCTCCCTGAAAGGCAGCGCGTGGATCCCTAGGATTTTCCGCAGTGGCCTTTTTACCACCTGTACTAATCTTTCCCAGAAGGCTCCGTGCCACGGAGCTCGTTCCGTCGAATGAGACCACTTCATGCCTTTCTTGGACAAGAGTGATTGGCAATCGGGGTGTTTTGCTTTCTCGAAGAGCGACTTCAGCTCTTTTTCCGCTTTCAGAAAAGTCCGCGCGTTGTCGGAGATTATGTGCTTAACTGACGGGTTCCTACTCATGAATCTCCTCAAAGCCAAGAGAAACTCGTACGTGGAGAGATCTGCCACGAGTTCCAGGCGGAGAGCTCTGGTAACCGCGCAAACAAATAGTAATATGTATGATTTTGTTTTCTCCCCGGCCGCATTTTTTATGTAAATCGGACCCGCGTGGTCTACGCCGGTTACGGCAAACGGGGGAGATTCTTCGATGCGAAAGGCCGGGAGAGGAGGCATTGGCTCTGCGGCGGCTTTCGCTTTGAAGCGAGCGCACACTTTACATCCGTGGATGGCTCTATTTACCTCTCGGCGCGCGCTCAAGATTAAGAATCGCTGTCTCAAAGCGTGTAAGGCGCCCGCCGTGCCGCCTGAATGAAGGCACTGGGTTTCGTGAATCGACCGGATGAGAAGTTGAACAAGAGAATCTTTCACAGGTAAAATCACCGGGAACTTGACCTCGTAATTTATGTTGGAGGACTTCTCGAGTCTCGAGCGACAGCGTAGAATGCCGCTGTCGTCTACGAATGGATTCAATGTCTTCAGCGCGCTTGCCTTTGATAAATTGGAGGCGCCGGCATCAAGCTCCGCCGCGAAGTGTTGGCGTTGGATTGTTTTGACTACAGCGATTTCTGCCTCCATGAATTCTTCCGGAGTGATTGAATTATCACCGCTCTTGAACTTGTTTCGATTTTTTGGAAGCCATCTCCGCATGAAAGCAGTAACACGCACGAGTTTCGCCCAAGAGGAGAATTTACTGGAGAAGGTTGACTCGTCCTGTACTCGAGAGGCGACCGCTGCCGTTATTTCCACTTTCTTTTCCCGCAACATCTCTTCCGACTCGCTAGGCGCGTTCAGAACGTGCGAACGTTGAGATCGGTTGTCTCGAAGCCAGGAGGGTCCCTCCAACCAGAATTGCTTGAGGCTATCGGTTTCAAGAGCCGAGCCCCTGCTGAGAAGATCTGCTGGGTTCTCTTCCGACTGGATGTAGCTCCATCTGTCAGGCGATGAGTACCCGAGGATCTCCTTGACTCTGTTGGCCACGAAAGGTTTCCACTTCTCAGGGGAGCTTCTCAGCCAGCCAAGCACGGCTGAATTGTCTGAGTACAAGAAGATCTCGTCGATTTTTTCAGGGATGCTGTTTCTTAGATGGTTAGCCATCCTTGAGGCAATAACCGCTGCCATCAATTCTAGGCGATGGATGGTCCAGTGACCTTTGAGCGGCGCTACTCTGGCCTTTGCCATCAGAAAAGAAACTGAGCATTTGTCTGATGGGGAGTTAACGTTTGTTTCCTTTAAGTAAGCGATTGCTCCGTATGCTTTGAGACTGGAGTCTGCAAACACATGGATTTCTCTCCTGGAGCCTCCAGACGCTGTGCCAAACATGTTTCGTCTGATGGCAATCCTGTCTGAACCGTCGAGAAAACCGGCGATTCTTCTGTACTCGGATGCCGTCTCGGGGTCCAGGATAGCATCCCAATCAATTTTCCTCGTCCAAAGGGTCTGAGTGAGGATTTTGAAGTTGATGCTAATTGAGGCGATGATCCCCAGCGGGTCGTAAATTTGACTCAGCGCTTTCAGGAGATTACGCTTCGTTGGAGGATTGTTTCGGAAGAACGAAGCGGTGTCTGTGGTGTCGATGAACAGAACATCCTCTTTCTGGTTCCAGGAGACACCCAGGAACTTTGCTTTCGGGTTTTCGAAAGAAATTTCGGGTTTGTCGTCGCTGGTGATTTTCTCGATGAAGCTTGCGAGCTCTTTCGAGTTCGTCTTCCATTTTCCGAGCGGGAAATGACCCTCTCGGAAGACCTCGATCAGAAATTCCACCAGGCGTTTTCCCTGATTCAGAGACGAGCAGCCAACAGCGAGATCGTCCATATAGAACGTACGTTTTATCTCTGCCAAGAGGTCTGCGTGCCGAGGGCGTTTCACCATCTGTAGGTCGAGGTGGTGACGCACCCCAGCGCAGTGCAACCATGGGCTGCAGACGAGGCCGAAATCGAGCACCTTGGCCCAATATTCCAGCACGGGAGCGTTCGGGTTTTGGGAGATGCCTGCTGGCCAATAAAACCTCAAGAACGTCCTGTGTTTCTCGTCTATCAGGAATTGGTTGAACGCTGACTTTATGTCTGCGACGATTACTATGGGAGATCTTCTGAATTGAATCAGTACCGTGATTAAATCTGGCAGATAGTTTGGTCCCTTCTCCAAAACGTCGTTCAGCGACGCTTCGTCCTTTGAGCGTGCGCCGCCGTCCTTTACCAGGCGAATTTTCTCTTCCTTATTCAAGGATTTTTTAGCGACCGCTAGGATTGGAAGGTAATGTGCCTTCTCCGTTGGAGATCTTGGCTTTGCCAGCTCGGCGAAATCTGATTCTACGATCTTAGCTACTTCGTCGTCCAGAGCTTTTTAACTGACTAGGCTTTTTCTTCAGATTTTTCAAGAGGCCCATTAAACGGGAGTAGGCGAGTTTCTGATTGTCGCCCAGAGTATGCTTATTTTCTCTGAAGGGTAACGATACTATGAGTCTACCCTCCGGAGAGAGCTTGATGGTATCTTTAAAGAACTTTTCCATCGCTTCTAAAGAGGATCTGTTATCATTAGCCTCCGAATTTTCTATTCCGAGAACCTCAGTTTTCCACAGGAATTCCAGGTCGTCTGAATGGTTCTTAGCTCTGGACGGCGCGTAGACTGCAAGATCATTTGACTTGCTCATGGAATCCTGAAGGATACCACACGACGTGATAACCGAGTTGGTATACACGTTGCTACCGCCATTCCCCCAGAGAACCCAACCGAAAATAGTTGGGGAAGCCGTGTACTCGCCCGCCCTGCGGTACATACCGCAGTAGACTGAGTGGAGGGCATCGGCGCCGATTAGAACGTCGATGACGTCTGAGAAATCGGGCTCTCTGGAGTCGGCTAGAGGGGAGAGATCGCTTGGGCATACGGCTCTCGGGATTTGGCCTTCAATAACAGTGGGCACCTGGAGGCAGCCGATGACAATATGCTGATCTGAGAACCTACTCTGTAGTCTTAATTGAACGATGTTCATAAGATTATTTGAGACTTGTCCCGCGATTCCGTGGACTTTGAGATCTACTTGAGCTACTGGCTTTAGATTGAGCAGCTTGACTATCTTATTCGAAACGAACGAGCGTTGTGACCCTGGGTCCAAGATTGCTCTGCAAATGATTTTTTCGCTACCGTTGACCACCCAAACGTAGGCCGTTTGGAGCAGGGTGCCGAGAGAACCCGCGCATGGTGCCGACTGGCACGCTGACGTTATGTCTGTCGGGCTAGTTCCGAGAATGGGAGATCGACCTTCTCTGTGACAGACCATGACGTTATGACGTCCTTTGCACTTCGCGCAATTGCTCGCTCTCACCCTACATTTATCGCTAGAATGATTTCTCCTGAAACATCTAGTACATGCATTTTGTTCCTCCAAAATCTTCCGCCTGTCGCTCGGTGATAATCTTTCTTGGCATTTGAAGCTTTTGTGCTTTTTGGCGCAGAAAATGCACACGGGATCTGGGACAGATCT